TATATATATATAACACTTGCTTTACAAACAGAGCCGCATCAAGCTTTCCGTGGACACTAAGCCCTGTTTAATTGATATTCTACAATTTTAAACAAAATGATCACGTTTATTTATTATACCTTTAAAACTGAACTATTCGAATGCTTACAACTTGTTGAAAAGGGTATTTAAAATTTTCATTTTGCACTCTAAAAATGCCGACAACAATTACCCATTCTCTCCTGCCGATTCCTTCAATCTACACTTGACGTATTTGAGAGCAATTCACCCATAGTTGGGTAGTGTTTTAATTTTACTAATAATTAATAATATTCGTGAAAGATTGGAAGTTTAAAAAAAAAAAAACTAAAAAAAAAAATAAATAAATAAATAAATAACACAAATAATAATAATTAGGAATAACCACAAAATGTAATGACATGTAACACTAAGGAGAATATTCAAGGGAATTTCATATTAGACGAGGCTTAAGACAGGGAGACTCACTGTCTTGTATGCTCTTTAACCTAACATTAGAAAGAGTTATTAGAAACATACACTCGAGAAACGATAACAGGATACTTTCTGAGGGAAACTCAAGACCCACAACCAACGGGCACACTCTACAACCAACCACTTCAGTATCTTGCATATGCTGCATGACATACCACTTCTAGGGAAAAGTATTAAAGACATATCAAAATCCTTTATTGAATTAGAAGACGCATCTCTGCAAGCAGGGCTGGAAGTTAACAACCAAAAAAACAAAATACATAATCATGATAAGAGAGGAACAAACAGATGAAACAATTAAATATTGAAACCAAACTTTTGAAAAAGTAAATCAATTCAAATACCTAGGATCCTTGTTAAATGAAAGAAACAAATTACTAACAGAAATAAAAGAAAGAATATCAGCCGGAAACAGGGCATACTTCAGTAATCAGAAAATATCCAAAAGTAAAAACATTACAAGAGAAAAAAAGAAAACTATTTATAAAACTGTGATCAGACCAGTTGTAACACATGCAAGTGAAACTTGGACCCTAACAAAAACAGCAGAAAACCTATTTAACACATGGGAGAGGAAAGTTCTCAGGAAAATATATGGGCCAACAAAGGATGAATATGGATGGAGAATACGAACCAACCATGAATTATACAGTCTATATCAGGATCCCACGATAGTAGCAGAAATAAAAAGAGGCAGGCTTCACTGGGCAGGACACCTAGAGAGAATGCCAAATGACAGAGGAAAGAAGAGGGTGCATCACCAATACCCCAGAGGAAAAAGGCTCAAAGGCAGACCTAGGCTTAGGTGGATAGATCATGTAGAAAAAGAAGTTTAAAGTCCAAGCATGGGAAAGAAAGGCATTAGTTAGGTCTGAGTGGAAGGAAGTGGTGAGGCAGGCCAAAGCCCTACATGGGCTGTAGCGCTACAGGGATGGATGGACACAAACTTTTTTCTGTCATCTTCTAGATATGTAATCTAATTGTATTCTTATAATATGTATATTTGTAGCTTTCAAGGATTATACTTTTTTCACTTGCTATGATATATGTTAATATATTTTTTTATTTCTGTAAATTTGATTTTGTATTTGCATATAAATTAATAGTATAATTAAATTAAATGTTGATCATAATATAATAACTAGCTTTTTGTATCGTATTTCTTTGTATACTGGTTGTCACAGGATGACCACAACGGTTACGCCATGGTCAAAATATTTTTAACAGGTCTACAGATAATGTGAGAGTGGGCAGGTCACGGATGGTGATTCCCTGCGGCTTTCGTAACATGATGTGTGTGTGTGGGGGGGGGGGGCGATTATGAGTGTGGACTCTGCCTACGTAGAGAAACATGTGTGTTGTCTTTGACTCGCGTGAGCATGCCTTCAAGGAGTATAGGTTTGTCGTATTGAGATGTCATACTTTACTCACAATCCATGGTGGCGCATTGGCGACTGGGAAGCGTCATGGTGGGAAGTTTGTGAGGGGAAACATTATGGCTACGAGAAATTCAGTTACTTTACTAACCTGCAGTCCTCGCATGAAACTTGCTTCATGTGTGTGTAGACTTAGACTTAGACCTTGCTCGTACCAGTTCTGGCCATGCACTAAAGTCCACATCGAGGTAAGAGTGTATACGGAGTTAGAATGTAGAAACTGAATAGCACTTTGTTTGAGAGGTGTCTTGGAGACTTTAGATATACATCTTGTTATATCTGGAAGAGATATGGTAAGCAGATAGGTGGGGCTTTGTATTGCATTATGTGGTCTAGGCTACTGCTCATATATAGGCCTATTTCAAGAGCAGTCATCCCTTATCTTGTGCTACAGAGGCAAATCCTTGCATGCAGGTGAGCAGACGTGTTGATGGATACCAACACTTTGCGACCGCCAGCAGCAAAATGAACCAGCAACAATCATATACGATGGGGCCACAATAGGCCAAACCCTTAAGTTGAAAAGAAGCGACAGTCATCCAAGAATATGATGTAATGAGGTGTAGAGTTGTGCATGCATTATAATTTAAAATTGCTTGTATTGTAATTTCCTTGGTATTTTAAACACAGGGCCATTGAACTATTCCACTTGTGTGACATAATGATAGATATTTCTTACTATATTACATATAACATTTCATAGTATATTTCATATTATATTTACGTAAAAAATTAGCTGTTGTAATTTTGATTTAAATTGAGGGCTCGTTTGATTTCTTGTAGGACAACAGTGTTTCCTTTGACACATCCAAACCAAGTGGTGTCAGAAAGATTGCAGGGATTTAAGGAAAGATCACTGTGCATGAGAGCGCTGGTAACACGGGGTTTCGGTCCTTTGTTACGTATTGTTCATCTAAAGAACAAAATCTTAAAACAGATTAAATTTTCTCAACCCTATCACGGTACGTAACAGGATTAGATTGCATTAAAATACGCTCAGCCAAAGGCACTTCTTATACAGGCCAACATTTAGGCGCTAAAGTATATAAGTTAGACGAATTTAAATTGCTTGTGTTCTCAAATTAACCGTTACATTTTTTGTTTCGTTTTGGGACAGTCTATTTCCTTTTTGTTCAATTTGGGGTTTATCTAAAATAAAAAAAATATTTTAAAAAATGCGAAACAATTTCTCAATCGAAATTTGAGACCAAAGACACTTATTCTGGGAACCACTCCTTAAACACATTCACTTTAAAGATAATTCCTCCCCCACTAAACACCATCCGAAAAGCTATTGAAGGGAACTGCGCTAGTAAATTTGAAATGGTAACATTTTAATTCTTTGTGACCTCGGCGTCGTTCGCCCCCACCCCCCCTCGCGGACCGGTAGACTCCAAGTGCCTACGAGAGCATCATCAAATTAGTGGCCCTATGTCGTTGGACGAATTCTACAAACACCGTTGTGGCTCAAGTTTCTAGAGTAGAGAGCGGCGAAGAATTGGGTGACCCCGATAAACACTTTGATCCCATTCTTCGAGGAAATTTGAAAAGGAGTAATTGACGGAGAAATCTATCCACTTGGACGGGAGGACAAACTCGCTTGACGGTGTATCACAGGAAGTCGCCCATTTCGGTAATGTGCTCGCCGAATGATACAATAATGAGGGACATTAAAAGGTTGTTTGTACGGGTGGGGTGGCCCG